CGAAGGGAGAGTTGAACGCAAATAGAGAAGGGTGCGAAGTGAACCGTGATCGCTGGTTACCACCATGGGAATTTTGGTCAATTTGTTTGACCGTCATCTAATTATCATAATGTATTTAATTATGAAATAAACCCCACCTGCGGAATGCAAATTTGTATTGCTGTGAGAAAGGTCGGCGTTAATCAGTTGAAGGATTTCTGAAATTTGTGTGAGGCTCTAGCCATATTCTTATTATATTTCCAAAGTATCTATCCATGATTTTTATTACCGTAATATTTGAAAAAGAAAGCAAAGCAGGCCTTTAAGGAATGCCACTATAATAATTCTTTACAGCATTTTAAAGATGTACATTAACATATCATAATACGATATTATTAAATTGTTTGTCAGCTTTAATTTAGAATTATATTTCAAGACCAACAAGTAATCGGCGCGCAATTTACTTGAACTGAAAATTGTGAGATTCATGCAAAAATATTATTAAGATTTGCTTTGATCGAATATGGCCTTTCTTGCTTATTTCTTTCGAATACTAAATTCTAGAATAATCGTTAAATTAAATTCGCATGGAGTAACTTCTTTTTATGCGGCCGACAGCTGTAAACATTCATTTACGTGATTAGTTGGTCAAGTAGGGTACCGTTACATAAACGGAACGTATTGTAAATTAAACATTATGGCTTCATGTTAAAATTAGATGTCTTGTCCATTTTTCGCAGAAGCTCCTGCAAATAGCCATGCGGCGTGTTTTACGGTGGTACGTTTAACTTCGAATTTTCGTAATTGGATAATGCGCACGTAAATTGTCGCGAACTAAAATTTCCGCGGAAGCGACAATGATCGAGAGAATTTCGTGCGCGACGTCGAGATACGCTCGTGTTTTCCTCACGCGTACAAATCGCCAGCGAGCAAACGGCGAGTTCACCGATAAGGGTTAATCGGGAGAGGGAGATAATAATTTCGCGTACTATCTTCTCTCTCTCTCTCTCTCTCTCTCGTGGATATATCAATTTTACGACGATTTTTCTTTTTTTTTTTTTATTTCACTCGCGCGGCTTTCGTCTCGTGGAAATATCTTCCCGGCAGCGTGAGCCGTTGTTTAACTTCGCTCGATTAATCAATCCGGCTTCGCGCGTCATCGAGAGATTTCTCGGCCGTATTTGTCGCTGTACTTTAACGTATGTTATCTATAAAATACATAAAATACCTCAAGATATCATCAAAGGTGTATTTTGCTTTCCACAACACGAACCAATATATTTAGAATATCACGTCATATTCATATCAATTTAATTCACGTAATCCTGTGTTAATTCTTGTTTACATCGTCGTAAGTTATTTCGAACTTCTTCGAAGAAAGCAAAGACGAATAAAGAAAATAAAGTATCGACTATTTGAAGAGGTAAGCAAAATTTGCAGGAGAGCCCTCGTTCCTTTTAACTTCGACTTGTTCAATTAGTTTTGATATTTTTAATTATGTAAATATTTTTGCTTTTATAATGTATTTTATACGCGTTATATTATGTAACGTATTGAACACAATGCAAATCAATATTTCTTTTAATTTTTTTATTTTTTATGAGAATATTATTCTGCGTTTCAAATTATTTTCATCAAGCTAGCGCTTCCTTCTAGGAAATAATTAATAAGACAAATCGTTTTCCTCGGTAAACAATTCCTAGAAAATATTCCTCTTTTCAATCGCGAGAGCAATTTGGCAGAATGATTCGGCTTCTTCGAACGATTAATTTTCTTCTTCTTCAATTAATTCCGAACAAGCGACTCCTCGTTAACTCGACTTCTTTTTCGCGAGTGCTTCCACTCTCACTGCGAGTTTCCAACGAAGAGTCCGTCTTATTGTTAGAGAAAAAAAAGAAAAGAAAAGGAACGGAAAAATCACCTGCTAAAAGAATGGCTTTATCTGATCTAAGGTAATCAACTAATGCATAGCTGCCCGTCCTTCTGCACGTCCTTTCGTCGCGCCGTGTCCAACGTCTCCGTCACGCTCGACGACGCCGACCAACTGTTGCGTCTTCCCGCCATCGACCCGACATAATCTCGAAGACGGAAATAATAGCGGGTGTCGAACACGGAAGGCTCTAGTATTGCATACGGAAATGCTCGTTCACCATTCGGTTAAACGGCGCTAGGATTCCATTGCAAACATTCTTAAAAAATTCTCCCTCTTCGCGTCAATAATTGTGCATAACTCTCATTTACATTGTACATTCACACTGTGAATGTGATCTATCTTCTTTTATTCAGAAAGTTTTTTTTGCAATTTCTAAAAATCTAACTCGACACGGATTTGAAAATAATTTTGAATTACCAATATTTATATAAAAAAGCATAATGAGTAATGCTGTAAAAAATTTTGATATTCTAGCAATCATAATTACTTTAGTAATTTAAAAAATTATTTTCAGATGTCTAATTAAATTTTTAAATACTTCAACAAAACCATTCCATCTGTACTTCTTTCATTATTTAACTAACAAGTCTAATGAGCGAAACTGACAAATGTTTCTTTCTTAATTATCTTTCATCTTTATTTTCATCTTTATTTCCAAAAACTAAAGAAGCTGAATAAAAAATATTTTTAAAGGAATAATAAAAGATTGCAAAAAATAAGCTGTAACAATGAAGCTAAGACGGTTGCTAAGGATCGACCAAAAATCCCTAAAAGTCTGTAGTTATTACAATAAGATTGGAAGGAACGACACTTGATACGTCGAGACGAAATAATATGACATGGACATGTTATTTTGCACGCGCGCTGTTTCAAGTTTAAGGTAAAAGGTGTCGAGTTTTTTCCTGCGGTCACCAACGTGCACGGTCGCACGGTGTTGGATGTACACCGGTCGGTGTCCACTCGGTTGGAACAGCGGCCTAAGATGGAGCAATGCCTTCGACGATCAAATCGCCGATGTTGCGAAAGGGATGATGAACATGTCAATTCTTGAGAATGACGATCCCAAAATAAAAAACAAATGTGAGACACTGTCTGTCGTCACAAAATATCATTTGCGAGAGATATTTTAAAATATTTAATATTCTTTATCTTTTATTGTTTTAAACTATTCAAAATTTTGTAATCGGGAGAATAAAAAAAAATTATACTCTAAAAACTTAGACGTAGACAAATAAAGAAAAAAATAGAATAAATTTTAAAAAATTATACATATATTAGAATAGACGGTATAGGTATATCTTGGAATGTCTCGATTATCATATTTTTTGAAATTTTCCGTATTTTCTTTACATATTAGCTAAAAAGGCGCCGCCGGTGTCATTGAAATGCACGCAAATGTTTTCTTCTACGAACTAAGTCAATTATTCTCATATTACGTCGAGAATTGAAAGGATAGACATTGCAGTTGAAGCTGCAATTATTAATGCGACGACCAGGAAGTTCTTCTAGCTTCGATTTCGTAATCATCACACGCGCATTTTAATTATATCTGACGTGTATTTAATTATATTGTTTAAGCTGCACGTGATAGAATTCGAAAAAATTCTAAATAAATAAAT